AATACGGAATCCCTTAATAGAATTACATATGGACTGTTTTGCAAAAGGTCTTTTGAAATAAGAAACTTAGTTGTTGGGAGGGGGGATTGGCTTCAGGGTATTTTTTGTTTGTTTTTAAATAGTGAAAAGAACAGTTCAATTAATTTTAAGCATGGTGTATTGGCAAATTATTCCCATGAGAACAGACCATTTTATTCAGTAGGAAGAATCCTAAGAAAGGATGAACACAGTGACCAATACACGTACCGTTATCTTTTGCCAGAAGGAATCACATGCCTACTCAGATCTTCTGTTGTACAACTCCTTAAGGAATGCGTACCTTTCTACGCAGTTCCTCCAAACAAAATTCTGAAATTCTTTTCAAAATAACAAACAGCAGAAAATATTTTAAAGTTTTCCCAAACACGAAATTTATTTGTAACACAAAAAAATGCAGCATTTCATTCTATGAATACATAGACTATAAGTCAACAGGGGACTGAAACAGCTATTCTGGATCTTGGGCAGAAATTCAGTAAAAGTCACCTAGTTTGCAGGGATTCATCCCCACCCTTTCCTTGTACATTCTCCTGCCACATAAACAGAAGATGACTTTAAGTTGTCCCAATATTTGGAGCTGTGCTCCTGCACAAGTCCAGAGCTGTCCTGTTATAAGCAGTATTGTGCCTACTTCATGTTAAATCAACAGGTTGATTCCAGATTCTATCAGTTCAGCACGGAGGAGCAAGGAATCAGTGCCAGGCAAGACTCTTCATTCCCTACAGTTAATAATGAAGTGTGTTAATTATCTCTGTTATATATTGTGAACTGCTGATCAGTTCTTTCCACTAATAGCACAGGGAATCTCCACTTTAATACCTGCTTCTTGGGTGGGAGGGTTTTAGAACTAAAACACTTACATTAGGTATTTAAGATAAACAGTCTATATATAATAAGGTACTAAGGTCACTCAAAAGACTGTCCACCTTCAAGAGAAAGTTCCAGGCTCTGGGTCGAAAATGAGTAAACACATGGTAAGTAATACAGCTAATACCCAAGAAGTAGTTGGAATTTCAGATACATGAGGTCATAACTTCCCACTGACCAGCTGTACCTAACTTCTTGTCAAATGTGCTTGCTAGATTTCACTTACATTCTAGTTTGAAGCAAAACAACTGGCCAGCCCAAAACCAGCGCAGAATATCTAGGATTCCTCTTCAAGTCTCAAGAAAGAACTGCAGTTAAGCAAATAAATCCTTTCTGGATTTTTTTTATCTCTATTTGTATCAGTGGTAAACAAAATGCACATACCAACTAATACCGCCACTCTATTCTTTTTACTCTGTCCAAGATCTTAAGAAAAGAATCAGGAAAAAAGAAAATCTATGCATGAGAAACTAAAACAGATTCACCTAAGTCTCTGACACAATGCACAGTGTATACTGTTAACTCTATTGCCAAAACAGATCTCTTAATAAAATAAATGCCACAATTTTTTTTTCTAATACAAAACATTCTAATACATTCAGTTATTTATCAAGCTAAGAAAATGCTGTGTTGTTACTCAAAACTAACCAAATGCTTTAAGTGCCCTGAAAATACCTCTCATGCACATAACTCCTTGCTTTTACATTCTGTAGGGATAAGAAAGACAGTCTGCATTTCATTGTCTGCTACTAGAGGATCACACAAATGAAGCAGCACACTATGAAGAGTTTGGGTTTGGTTTCAAATCGGTCTTCCAAAGTCTCAGTATGTGTGGCTTTTGGTTCAAACTACAAATATCTTCCACCTACACTCAAAAAGGACTGAAATACAGCTGTTTTATAAAATGTACAAGATCCAAACTAAAAAAAAAAAATCCAACAAAAAACAACACAAAACAAAACAACAACAAAAAAACCCCACAGCACCCTTTAAAATCAGTAGTAGTATGTTACTGGGCAAATTAACATCGACCAGGTAATTTTTGTGCTACTTTAAGGTTCAGTAAAATGATCTGTTAAGGTTGCTTAAATACTGTCTTGCATTGCAAAGTTTTTGGATTCTGATAATAGTAAAAAAATACTTGGCTTGATATAAGATACACTTGTTTTATTTATTGTTCAGTCAACACTGGGCATTAGGCTCAAACACTTGTACATGGCAATTACAATAGTTACAAGACCAAATAAAACGATGACAATTGTTCTGTAACCCATTCCTAGAAAAAGTCAAAATTAGTATGAGACAAATTCCAGGCACATTATCACCTAGATTTTATTTACTCACATATATACCACATCAGATTTCAGATGTTAAGAGCTTGTTTTTCATTGTAACAAGACCCAACGTAGAAGCAAGAAGAGTTTCTCAAAACAATTGTTATTGCTCTGTAAGCAGCACTAGTATATTATTTATTATAAAAATAAAAAGCCAATTTGATAAACGATGATAAAATGTAGACGCTAGTATATTAAAACATTCTATATTTTTACCAAAATTGATAGGTTCTAGATGAAAAGGAAAGAATGCAGACATCAGACTGTTAGGATTCCCAAAGGCATTATGAAGAGATGTACACAGTGCATTGCAAATCTGTAGGTGTACAAATGTTATCTACCGCTCTGAACAGGCAGAAGAGTCACTGAATTTATGGACATATGCTATTGATTTCTTAGCAGCCTAATTAGGAGGTTCTACTAATTATCACTAGAAGCACCTCAGATCTTCAACTATCCCTAAAAATAACAGCCAGTTCAAGGAGCACTAGAAGACACTAGGGAGAGCACTACAAGTTTGCCCCAATGTGATATTCTTCCATAGACATCAGCTTATAGACACAGTAGACAACTGAATAGACACTGTAAATGGACTTTGCAATTGATCCAGGTCAGTTGTTCTTATTTTAACTGTGCTTGTATTAAAAGAGAAGCATTTGAAAGCAAACGTGTGATATATGCTTCATACCTGTGGGTGCTATAGCTTCAGATAAGCAGCAGCTCTTGCCACATACACAATTACAGAGTGGACAGCTTGTTCCCCAACTCTCAATTCATATACCAACATATAAAGAGAAAGATTTGCTGTTGGTGGCAGCTCCAAAACACTCCTCCTGTTCTGCCTAGGCTGAGCTAAATTAAAAGTACCATTACAGAGCATGCATGGATTTGGCTTTATTAATTGAACAGAACTGTACAAATACAGAACGTGAGGGAAGAATACAAATTAGCAAAGGGAGGTTGGATGAGAAGTATAAAACCATATACAATTGACTTTCAAATTTGTCTTCTCTGTAGCCAGGCAATTAAAGTCAAAGAAAAGAAACCACTTCAATTGCCCTGAGGCAAGTACAGGCTCTACAGCAAGGAAATGAAAAGAATGAGAAGCAATAATTCTATTTGTCAGAGATGCTCTGCCCAGAAAGGATTAAACGCATTTTCCTCACTTGGGGAAAAGCTGGTATACCCAAAATGTCTTACTCAAAATCTGCTTAGTCCAGCAGGACATATTTTCCCATGAAACTTCTTACCAAGAAGTTACTTTGGCAAGACAGGCTGTTTTTCCAGAAAGTTTAGCAGTGAACGGTGATTAAAAATACCACAGTTCCAACAATGCTGGTCAGTTCTTCTACTTAACATCCTCAATCTG